TCGGTCTCAATTAAAAATGTTCAAATGGCAACCACAAAATGTTCAAAATGAGACTACAATAAAACAATAAATATAAATGACTACAAGGGTTAACTGCATCTAAACTTGTCTAAAACAGCAAATCAAACATGGTGGGGTCGGGATAGGGTGAGATCGGGTCCTCCATTGGTAAAAGGCTTTGTATTTACAAGTGTACAACCCGACTGGAGACCTTAGCACCCCAATTGATCCTCTAAGCAAAACTGTCTGGCGCCGCCCCTGCTGTTAAGTAATCAATGTATATGTGAATTTGCCCATCTAAATTACCCTTTGTGATTAAGTATGCAAGTGAATGGTCGTCTTTCTTTGTAAGTGCAGCAATTCACCACTGTCCAGAGGGTGATGAGACTACTAATGAGAACGAATGGTAGAAGATTAATGACAGATATTAAGTTATCAATACAGTGTCAATAATGTATGTTTAGTTGCATGGTTTAGTTCCAGCTCATTACAGGGCTGCAGACAGGCGACCAAGCACACGCATTTTAAAATTTAGATTCAGTACTATTGAAATCTTGCTTTTTCACCAACGACTGAATAGATTGTGAAATTTGCATATACCTCCTACTTAAAGGTGCATCGTGTGACCTTTCTGATGCTTTTCTCCATAGAGATGTTATCGCTTTGTCTGGAAGGTTTCACAGTATGAAATTAAACCTTTTTATCTTCATGGAGACCAAACCAGACCAAGTTACAAGTCAGATCTGTGGAGAGGCACCTCAGATTGCCTGTTTTTCTAGGTATTTTTGAGCTGTAAAACCACCTGTAATTGAACAAAAGTAAGGTAAAGCTGTTTAATGTCACACTGTGGAACATTCCAAGCAGAGCAATGACATATCCATTGAAACAAGCAGGTGATGGATCCCAAATGAGAAGTGCATTTAAAATGTTTTTTGTTTTTTTTTTAATTAAAGACAACAGAATATAACATAACAAAATACAATAATCAACATAAAAACAAAGCACAAAAACATAAAGCAACACCCATAACAAATACAAAACAACAAAAATGTCCGCCCATTTCCCCTCGACCACACACACCTTGATACAAATTTAGTTAAATAAAACAAAAATAATGTGGTACTGCAACATAAACACACACCGCTAGGCCCCCTTACATTGATATATTTTTTCCAATTTATAATTGAAATTCCTTTTTTTTATTCCCCATTTTTAAATAAACATTTTTAGTCCCTATATTAAAAAAAGTGCACATTTGCATCACTTTGTTTGACTGCATTGTGAGGTCTGCCACGATGAATTGTATTACTGTATACTGTATTGCTGTTATTTATTTATTGCTGCTAATGTTTGGTTTGGTTTTGTACATTTAGAATAATTTTTGTGGGATAAATCTGTTTTATGGTTTGGTTTCAATATTATTGTTCACCGTCATAGATTTTCTTCAGCAATATATCAGACTTCAAAATTTGTTATCGTGACAGGCCTACGCATTGTCCAGGAATCCTGCCTCTGAAAACATGATGTAATAGCTGGGCTCCGTGCAAGCATTACAACAATTTTGGTGAAGATGTCAATGCAGAATAAATGTAGACATACTTCCTGACCTCTTCTTTGCTCCTGGGAGTCTAGCTCAGATCGTTCAAGGCTCTCTTTCGCCTGTGTCTATTGATTATCAGACAGATACATGGATAGCTGTGTGCTCCAGAGACTATGTTCTTTGTATCCATTTAGCCGTGTGTGGAGATTGATAATTGCGTGCTCCAGGAGGCCTATGATGATGGAGGCGATTAATAATCCAGGGGAACACACACTCCCACGAGGCCCCACTGAACCGGAGATACCTGGATCTTTTATTAATGACACACTTAGTTCTGCTTTATTAGGCCACCGTCGGAAAGCAGCGCTGCTCTGTGCGAAAGAAAGAAAGCAGGGAGTTTAAGAGTAAAGTGAGCTGAGGTTAAGCACGTAGCAGCCAGTGATCCTTAAAATGATACATGTTAGTTAACCGCTAGCTTTTTAAACTAGACTTATCAAAATATACTCCAAGGTCACAGCACCACACAAACATAGCACTTGAACTACAACATGTAAAAGTTCCATACAGGCTGAGGAGGTTAAAAGATGCACTAGTTAGTTTATTTGACATTTGTAGTTTAAAAAACATATTGGAAAAACATGTGGGAAAAGCTCAAAGTGCAAAAAAAGACATTTAAAACAACCACATAAACACACAACAGAAAATCATTACAGATGACATATGACACTGTGACATAAACAAGACACAGTGATACAGGAGCCAAAATACGAAGGTGCTACATCAAAGTTCAAAGTGTGCTGTTCAAGCTTATAACAGCTTGTGGAAAGAATGTGTAACTTTTCTAGCAGGTCTCTATAGAACCAAGCCAAGGGCGTAGGTCTGGTCTCAGCTTTTGGTGGGGACATAATCAGCTTCAGTTTTTCAAAGTTTGCCACGCAGCGTCTTCACTCACCCCGCTCAAGCCGCCATTTTTGGGTGCTGACCCTGTCCTGCAGTTTAGGCTCCTGGCTCCACTAATGACATCACTCTGTTGCAGCCAATGAAACAGCAGCAGGGGTAACTCTGTTGTCACATCACTGAATACATCTCAGAATGTCTAATAAACAAAATGTGAACTAAAACGTGTTAAAGTAATACTACTTAGTTTGGAAAAATATTGGATTAAATTTATATTTTTGTTTATTAATATAAAATGGCAAATATTGGTAGGGACTATTTTGTCTTCCCCCAATATTGGTTGTGACATGTCCCCACCATCCCTGTGCAAACCTACGCTCTTGAACCAAGCAGATGGCACCACCATGCCAGTCACAGGTCAGATCTGTGGAGAGATAACTCTACTCACAGTAAGAATGCATCTTTTTTTCAGTTTTGACTTAGAATTAGTGTTTCTTTTTGTCAGGCAGCAGAGTGTGTTTACCTGTTTTGCATGTTTCAGCTACTTCCTGCTGAAATGTCTAAATTAAATAAACAAACACCGTCTGACAAAAATAATCGCAAAGTACAAATGCATGTTTTTCTAGATATTTTTTGAGCAATAAAAAACTGTAATTGAACAAATGCAAGATAGACACAATTTCACTACTGTGTTACATTCAAGGTAAACAATCACAATCACAATCAATCTCCGTGGAGGTGGCACAACCTAAACCAGAAAAGTGACATAAATCCCTAAATCAGAAAGGTTACAGAAAAGTTACATTATAAGTTTGAGGGTATTCTTATTTTATAGTAATACACAAAAAAAAAACAGAATTCCTCCAGGTAGATACTATAGATTTTAGTGGTATGCACATTGTATTTCAGTAATGGTTTACATTGATGGTTGGTGATATTTTGGTCATGCCCAGCTTTTGACCTTATGTGCTCATACACAATTTATGCCTTTATACCCTTTATACCTTTATATACCCTTTATGCCTTTAGGAAGAATAAACCTTATCGAAATCAAACACGCCAGGCCCAATCAACAAGACCTTGAGTTCATTCCAGCTGATATTTCCAGCCAAACACGAGGTCCCGGTGGGGTCTGCACTGGGAAAGGCCAGTCCCTCCAGGTTTTGGTCTTATTAAAGGAGGCTTGACAAGACCGTTTGAAAATGTCACTCTCAGATCACTTAAGAGACTGAAACCAGGCACCATCTGCAGCTTCTAACCCAAAGTCAAAGTTTCGAGTTGAGGTCAAGTTCTGTAATGAAACACTATTACCAAAAAATGTGTATCAGTCCAAAAACACACACAGTTCACCCAAGAAATGTGAAAAAAAGCGACTACCAAGGCTCTGTGTGTGCCCAGTCCTGCACTTCTACTCAAAGACTGATGTATAGCAACCTAAAGACAAGATTTAATGCAGATTTGATGTTTCATCTGAACCACATATATGAAAATGTTCTCCCCCTTTGTATCAATTCAGTCAATGTCTAACTTGTGTCCAAATAAATTCTAGCTCCTCAGACCAGTACCTACAGACTGACAATAGCTATTAGATGACAAAATATTTTGATAATTTTTCAGACTAGATGACTACCTTGTTGTTTGCTCCACACATAAATGGTGGAGAAGCACAGGAATAAAATCCACAACAGTGAGCTGTTCCGTCCCCTTGCCGCCATGTATTATCCATGAGTTTCAGAATGATGAAAAATGATGATTGTTGCCAGAGTGATTAACTATTTAAAACTAAATATTAGTTGTTTTGAATGGGAAAAGTTCTGAAAATGTTGCATATAACAGATTTGGACTCCTTTAAAACTCAGCATTTCGTCCAGAGGTAGGACTTAATGTTCTACTGCAACAATGCTAATTCAATTTTAAAGTGCGCTTTTCTATTCATCAAGTCTAAAAAACAGACTTTGCAAGAAAAAGCTAATTTAGACCTAAAATTACAACAAAAACACATCACGTTTTTCTTTCACTTTTCGTTAATGCATCAAAGGAGCCATTTTCCTCCAAACACAATCATGCCAAACAACAGCCACTTTGTATTAGTGGATAGGCTTGTAAATGTAGATTTAGATGTAGATCAGGTTAAAGTCAGGGTTAGGATCAGGGTTAGATTTAAGAATGCCACTGAATCTTAATAGTTGCTGTAAATACATCTGCTGATTATGAAGTCAAGCTCACTCTCCATAGAAAATACAGCACTCATCAGTTAGTAAGGTATGACTGACATGGTTCACTAAGCCCCGCCTCCAGACGAAATGCGGAGACTTTAGGGAGTCCCTTAAAAGGAAGTTGAAGCACAAGAATAAAGCAAGTTTACCTGATGAAAACTTTCAGAAATAATGGTCAGCTATAGAAGCAAGCCTATTTATAGCATGTGCAGATGGTAGCACCTGCAAGCAGAACCTGCACACATGGGTCATTTATAACAGTCACCTGTAAGTACACTGTAGGTCTCATTTACTCCAAAGTGCTGAATAATGTTCCATAACACTCTGTACATTCCTGTGTCTGTCAGAGCCGTCGACGTGCATGATGTCGGAGTGGATCAGCTGGTCTCCCTGCAGTGTGTCCTGTGGGATGGGCATGAGGTCCAGGGAGAGATACGTCAAACAGTACCCTGAGGACGGCTCTCTGTGCCAGCTCCACACCGAGGAGACCGAGAAGTGTGTGGTCAACGATGAGTGCTGTGAGTAACATCGTTGTCAAACAACTCAAGTCAACTAGTACAGAACCAGAAAGACCAGAGTCACATTACAAGAAGTAAGACAATAGCACATGGCTGCATTTATGACATTTGTGTAGTAAAATTTAGTGTTTATTGTGTGATTATTGTGAGAAGAAACGACACATTTTTACAGTGACTTCTTGCAAATTGTGACTTGGACTCGAGTCAGACTTGAGTCACTATTTTTAGGACTTGAGACTTGACTTGATAAAATGGACTAAGACTGGATTTGACTTGGACTTGAAGGTCAATGACTTGGGACTGTGACTTGATGCTTCTCCTAAAAAAAATATATGTCTTTAGAAAATACTTTTCTCTTTCCAGTTGATACATGTGGTGCTTAATTCTACAAGAAGAAAAACTGGACCATGTCCCTCCCACTTCTCTGTTTGTTACTTAGGATGTAACTGAAGTACTGCGAAATGGTATCCTCAAATGTACTACAGTAATATACAGTACAATAAAGTAAATAAGAGGGAACTACAAAGAACATGATCCTTCCATTTCAGACAAAATAACTGTTATTTAGCTCTTTTAAATCTGATTTCTTTCTGTTCTGACCATAATGATTCACACTTCCATCTTGTCAAGACATTTAAAAAGGAAAAATTTGCATTTCTACAACTCAAATATACCATGATTTTTTAAGTACACTTTAGTTTAAAATTCATATAAATTGTAAAAATCTAACCTGTATTTGGTACTTTGGTTTAAAGACTTGAAATAACTTGAAGCTCAAAGCAGACGACTTGGACTTGACTTGGACTTGAGGTCAAAGACTTGAGATTTACTTGAGACTTGCAAAACAATGACTTGGTCCCACCTCTGCTTCTTGGCACTATGACCAAACAGTGAAATCCTTAATTTACTGTCATTCACGCTGTTTAATAGATTACCAATTCTCCAGTATGTGGTCCGCTTGATGGAACCAAATTATGAGGTAATGTTACATAAAAAGTATTGTAAGTTTACCTTTTTCAAAGGATTAATTAAGATTGTATAATGCAAAAATGTCTCTTGTAAATTTTAGGCTGTGTTAGAATGTTGTTACCTTATGAAAAACATACCTATAGATGTGTTTTTTTAATTCACACATGCTTAAATATAAATTTTTAACTGAACAACATTGACATCCCTAGTGTAGACGCACACACAAAATAAAAAATACTCAACTGTTTTTTCCTTCACTGTTATAATGGTTAGCAGTAGTATTTTTTTTAATTTATTCTTTTTCTTGTCTCCTAGCTCCTAGTAGCTGTGTGGTAACGGAGTGGGCAGAGTGGGACCCCTGCAGTGTGACCTGTGGGCTGGGCATGAGGAGGAGAGAGCGAATGGTGAAGATGCCCCCTATTGACGGCTCCATGTGTAAGACTGAGGTGGCCGAGGTGGACAAGTGCATGATGCCAGAGTGCCGTAAGTTTACTGTAAAAAACAAAAACAAAAAACAAAACAAAAAAACAATATTTTAAAGTGTGATAGAGTTTGGTGGGGTAGTATCTGTGGTAATCATTTGTTGTATTTTTACAGCTAAGTGGCAGTGAGTTCTAAAAACAGAATACCTCTACTTAGGTCTTTAAAGGGCCCATATTTCACAATTTTATGATCTATGTTATAATGTTTCCTCATCACAAATGTACCAGTTGTGTTTTGTTTCATTCGCACATGTTTAACGTACAAAGCCTGCATATTTAGGCTGAATTCTCTCAAACAGAAAAGAACCTTTTCCACCTTGTGATGTCATGTGGTAATATAGGAAGTGCTCCACTGTGTGTTAAATTCCATACACCTTCATAAGAATCATTTGGATAATTTCAGCCCTGGAATTTTCCTACTGAACGAACGATAAAAAGTAGCTGTTAACTTGAAAACTGCCACTACATGACAGGACAAGATGGAACAGAGTATTTTGCACTTTGGAGATGCAGACAGACTAATAATAAAGGGTTAGTCAAACATGTGTGCATGAAACAAAACACAACTCCAGGTATGTTTTTGATGAGGTAACAACATTATAACATGACACCCCTCTGCCCTCAGGACGGAGGTAAAGGGTGCTCAGGTGCCGGAGGGCCTGCTTTGGCAGAAGCCTGATGCCCTCGGCCATCATGTTTCTAAACACCAGACCCCGCTGAGTGTACTGTAATGTCTACTGGAATGTGTCTGTGTGTGTTGTGTTGCACTGTGTTGTTGCTGTATGTGCCAAATAAGCTCTGTGTGCGTGGAAGTGAATTTCCCCTTGGGGACAATAAAAGTCTAAGTCTAAAAAAGTCTTAAAGGAGTCAGTTTTGCAGAATATGGGCCCTTTAAAACTGAAAATTCTATTCAAAATGCAGAAACCATTTATGAGAAAGAAACACATTTTTCTGACAGACTAAACATTCATTTGACCAAAGAGATGTATCACCTTTTAAGTTAATTAATCTAATCATAACTCCTGTGTAATTTAGACAATTAGAAAGAAATAATAATTAAGAAGTGTTTTAAATGTTTTTAATGTTTGCTAGGTAACAGTGGAATTATCTCATACTTATATTTGTCATATTTGCTGCCAGTGTTCAAGCAGGAAATTTAATTATAAAAACGTCATACCAACATTTAAAAGAAACTAGGTAAGACTTAAAATAATGTTAACTATAGTTTAGGGAAATGAGTAGTGTAACCTGAAGACATAGAATAAAACAGACATGGGTGCTGTGTGCAGACACCATCCCGTGCATGCTGACGCCCTGGTCGGACTGGAGCGAGTGCAGTGTGACTTGTGGGCGGGGCTTAAGGACACGACAGAGGATGCTGAAGTCTGACCCCACTGAGTGCACAGAGGAGCTGGAGCAGACTGAGAAGTGCATGCTGCCAGAGTGCCGTAAGTACCTCACTACATGTTAACATTATGTATTCACCCCGTAGACTGTATGAAGAAGTGGACTAAGGGAGTGTGACGTCACCTATAGCATTCGGCTCCAGTCAAATGAAGATCACAGAGGCTAGCAGATATGCGGCAAATTTGGAGTTCTATATGATGCATTTATTTACATATAAAATAACAAAATGAAAATACCAGGGCCATATACAAACATTTTAAGACCAAAATGAGGTAGTTACAGGTTCACGAGAGAGGGGAGATTACTTTTTAATGTTAAGTTAAATGGAGCCAGAGTCGATGGAGCTGGAAGTGCCCCCATGCTCACTTCCTTTTTGGAATGCGGTGGCTAGTGGGTTAGATATATCCTGGACCTCCTGATAAATTAATGACAAGCCAGGGGGAAGAAACTGTTTCACACTGCATAATTTCAGTGGGTGTATTTTTCCAGCATAATATAGCTTTTTTGTTTTTTGTGTTTTTTGGCCCAGATTTATAATAATAAAAAAATACTATGATAATCTTTGTAAAAAAGTATCTCCAGGGGAAACTCAGACTACACTTGGTGTATTTTTTTAAATGGCATTGTACAAAGCCCTGGAGCAGGTTAAACTCTGCTAAAAGGCCATTACAGTGAATGAGGCTGAAATTCCATTGGACCCTGAAGTTGCCGAAATACAGTTATGACATCATCAGTTAATAGTCATTATCACAGCGAAATGTAAAGACCAATGACTCATGAAACTAAATTAGACCAGAGCAATTCCCAACAGAACCATCAGAACAATTCTCAAAAAGGTTCTTCTCCATTCAAACTATGTAGCTGCCACTGGTGGAACTTAACAAAGTAAAAGTAGTAAAGCACTGTACTTAAGTATAAATTTTAGGTATCTGTACTTTACTTAAGTAGATTTTAAAGTGGACACTTTTTACTTTTACTTCAGTACATCTGAGAGAAGCTATCTGTACTTTCTACTCATTATACATTATACATATTTTAACAGGACTGAACAGTTTTGTTTGTTTGTTTTTAGTTTGAGTCCTGCTGAAAAGGCTGAGGGTTTATTTTTAATACATCTGTAGTTTGAGCAAACAAAAATATACAAATAAAAACAGCTAGATTGAATTTGTTTCTGTTGAACAAAATTCAGCACAAGTCTTTATCGGAATTAATACATTTAAAGCTTTATCAGATCTCAGAATTTGCATTAAATAATTTTATGTTTTACTCTTAAAGTACATTTTTAAACAGGTGCTTTAGTACGTCTTATCTTATCTTCTTACTTATCTGTAGTTTTACCTAAAGAACAAAACTGAGCCAGCGACTCGAGCTGTCCTGTGAAGACGCGGCGCCCCCTGTGGTGTTCTGTGTCTCTGCCGCGCTACATTTACCTCTGACGTGATTTATTTTCCCACAGCTCCGTGATGCATCTCAGCAATTACTGAGCATGCCCTGCTCACCTGGCCCCAGAGCACGGCCGTGTATGGTCCATATTTCTGGGAGCCACCTGCAGGGAACAGCATGGCTCCCCCAGATTGGACAAAAGCCTTGAGCTATTGGACACTACAGATCACTGACAGATGAAGCATTTCACAATGGCTTGAAAATATATATGGCTGTTGTTTGAATGCACGGTTTAAAATGGATGGAAGAAAACACAGAAACTCTGAATCTCAAGGCATCATGATATGTATTGAATATATAATGTATTTGTCATTGATGTAGGACAGTGCATTTCTGCAATTTAACTGCAATTCAAAAGTTTTACACAACCAGTCAAAAGCCTGGACTGTCAGTCCCTCTCATTCAGTGTTTTTCAATGTTTACTACTTTCTACATTTGATATGATGAATTACGTTTTATTTTTGTTGCTGAAAAATGTGTTTCTTTTGAGACTGATAAAGTATTTATATATCTTTATCTATATACATAGTAAGATGTATGGAATTATGTAACAAAAAAAGAAACTCAGCTAAATCAGGCCATGTTAGAATGTTGTTATCTCATCAAAAAATGCCTGGAGTTGTGCTTACATCTCTAAAGCTCAAAATACTCCACCTTGTGATGTCATGAAGCAGTAGTTTTCAAGTTAAATAGTTAAATAATAATACCTCTTTAACTTTATATATTTATAACCAAATCCTCAAATTACCACCTTTTGCTTTGTCGAAAATGTGTGGTTAAATAAGTATTAAATATTACATATGCAATATGTAATATTTATGTAATGCAATAGTTAATGTTTAATATTTAATAAATAAGTTATTTAACTTTTTTCTTTACTAAATAATTCCATATATCTTGCTTCATATTTTTCATGTCTGCAAGCATCTAAAATGTAGAAAATAGTAAGAAAAAATAAACAAAACATTCAGTGAGAGTGTGAGTCCAAATATTTCACTGGTAGTGTTATTATACTATAGTGTTATAGTGTTTATAGCAGTGTTTTAGTGCATTTCTCTATATTTCTCTGGGCACATTTTATATACAGTTTTTAATTTTTAAACAACTAATTGAGCCATAATAAACAAATACTTTAAGGCCCTCAAATATTGAGCACATGCTCTAAAGAAGAACCTTTGTAGGACCATATAAGGGAAGGTTTATTGTACGAGTAAAAGCTCATTGATCACCCTTCGTTTGGAACAAAATACAGCTTTTACCAGCTCAGATTAAAAGTGTTTTGTGCTGGTTCATTGATTCCACATAAATCTACAATGTTATACTGTGATTTTTGTCTTATTTAACTTGTAAGTACTAGTAGTAAGCAGCCATATTTGTTTTGATATGGATTGACCGTACTACATGCCCCTGACTGGCTAATCCACCTGTCATTCAAATCAGAAGGAGGGGTTTTTAGTAATGTTAGAATGCTGTTACGTCGTCAAAAACATACCTGGAGTTGAATTTTGTTTGACTCAACCGTTTGAGTTATCTTTTATTATTAATCTGTTTACAATTCCAAAACTCAAAATGCTCTGTTCCACCTTGTGATGTCACAACTCCAGGTATGTTTAATATGGGCCCTTTAAGCTTAACTCATGCCTAAATGTTGGAAACGTGTGTAAACCTGCTTTTAAGTCACTCTCGCACGAGGGGGTCAGTATGGTGCATATATTTCCTGATAGACCTGGATGACTGCAAAAATGTATTAATGTACTGAAGTAGTTTGCTGTCTGTGTTCTCTCCAGCGATTGACTGCATGGTGTCAGAGTGGTCCGAGTGGTCTGAGTGCAACAAATCGTGCGGTAAAGGCCACACCATCCGCACGCGCATGATCAAACTGGAGCCTCAGTTTGGGGGCAGCCCCTGTCCTGAGACCATCCAGAGAAAGAAGTGCAAGATCCGCAAGTGTCGTCAGAAGGCCAAAGAGGAGAGGGGCGGAGCCGGCAACAGGAGGAGGCGGGGCAAGCAGGGCCAGGATGCATCTGTGGAGGATCAGCAAGGTTAGTCAAACAATGTGTCTACAGGAAATGCATTTACAGGAAATGCAAGAAGTGCTCCACTGTGGTTTTAAATTCCACACACATTCACTAGAAACATTTGGATAATTTCAGCCCTGGAATTCCTAATACATAAAGGTAAATGATAGTTGTTAACTTGGAAACTACCGCTTCATGACATCATGAGGTGGAACAGAGCATTTTTAGCTTTGGAAGTGTAGACAGGCTAATAATAAAGGGTTACTCAAACATGTGTGCATGAAACAAAGCATAACTCCAGGTATGTTTTTGAAGAGGTAATAATTGTAAGATGGCTTAAAGCTCACAAGATTCAATTTTGTGTTATATAGCACCTTTAAAACTGTGAGATCACAGATTGCATCCAGTTCTTTTCAACAGCCTCCTGCCATGTAAGAAATACTTTGCGTGTGACGAATGAGGCAAAAAAGTTCTGAGTCACCTACAAATCCACAAAATGTCACTTTGTCAGGAAAAGTGAAATTGAAGCTTTACAGACCGTGTCAGATTTTGGTTTGTGTGATGGTGGTTGAAGATGTGAGTAAAAGGACATAAGCTGCCCTGGACTCATGCTGACAGCAGACACCAGCGGCACATTTCCTGTATAAATACATGAATAAATACTAAAATAACATTTGACATCAGTACACAAGTTAGAGAGATCACAGGGATTACTTGTGTTATCAACTTCTTAAAGCAACAACATTAAAATACGCCCAGGAAAAAGATTCACTATTCAGAAAATTTACCAGACTTTGAAAAAATAATTAAAGGTGCCTTGTGTAACAGTTTTGGTGGAGGGTTCTTCAGATGCTTGTCTCCGTGGAGATGTTATTGCTTTGTCTGAAATGTTTCACAGTAGGGTATTAAGCCTTTCAATCTTCCAGGAAACCAGATCAAGTTACAGGCCAGATCTGTGGAGAGGCGACCCCACTCACAGTTAGAATGACAGTTTTTCTAAGCATTTATAAGCTATAAAACCACCTGTAATTGAATAAATATAAAAGTAGAGCAGTTTAATGTCATACTGTGGAACATTCTAGGCACAGCAATGACACATTCACAGAAAAAAGCAGGTGACAGACTCCCAACCAAAAAGTTACATAGTTCACCTTTATGTAAGTTACTTTATAAAAGAATATTAAGATGTTCCAAAATCTATTTATTCATGTTTGTCAATCATATTCATATTTTGCAGGTTGGACTGTCAGATAATCCTATATATTTTTGTCCAGGTTGCCGGATGCAGGGCTGGGGCACTTGGTCGGACTGTTCGAAGCCCTGTGGTGGTGGAATCCAGGAGCGCTTCAATACAGTGAAGAAAAGGCCCAGAGTAGCTCAACCAGCAAACTGCAAAGATCGCAAGGAGATCCGTGCATGTAACGTCCATCCCTGCTAGGGGGCACTACTGAGCTACACAAGCTACAGAGAGAGAGGGAGAGGGAACGGTGAAATTCTGACGCGGACACAACTGAGAAATAAATGTTACAGTGTTTTTTAGCGAAGCCATTTTAGATGTTTTGATTTGAGTGACAGGGCTGACTTCTTTAAGACCACTATGAAGGTTACAGTTATTGGATGTGGTCTGAACCCATGACTTCAATTGACAGACTTATAATATAGCCATAGACATAAAAGATTTCAGCAGCACATTACTACTTTATGGAGAGTAGCAATAGAAATTAACAATTTCTTTTTGTGAACCAATATTAAAAACGTACATGGTGAGAATGTTAACTGGTAAGGCAACTTGTTGTAAATGGCTTTTGTAAAATAAAATCTTGCTAAAATGTTAAATATATATCTTGGTTATTAGCCCTAATCAGAGAGATAAAATAAGATGGATTTTGAGGAGGTCCCTGAACACTCTGGAGGTACTGTGTATGTACTCCCACTAACCACTCTTATAAAAGACACTGCTATGTAAAGTAAACATTGACACATTGAAACGAGATGTTTTATACTATTGGAGTTAGTCTTTCTATACTGTACTGTTATTGTTATTGTCCTTTCAGCTAATGTAGCATTAATCTTCACCAGGTCTGCACACACCCTCTTCAAGCATGTGTCAATACAGATTTGACCCTACACTGTCCCTTGTAAGGTTGATGGGAATATATTTGGTGTGGCCTAAAAACAATGAAATGAAATACAACCAACTCACATGGAGAAAATTGTGAAATGGTTGTTAATAAATTGTGCAACTTAATATCCTTGTAATAAAACAATATTTTCTTTTTTGCGCCTTATCCACTCCTTCATTCATTTGCTAAGAATGCCATTTTTATTATTTTGATGTCAGGAAGAACCGCAGTTTTGTTGTAGATTAAATCTGACTGTACTTCTGTGTGTTGGTTTGAGACTCAAGTCCGCTCAGTGACTGTTAGCGCACATTTATATGTTCCAGGCACCAAAGTTTTATTTCAGATGTTGCTTACTTCATTCTGGTAAAGGCAGACTTTCTTTGTATCATGTGACTATTTTGTAAGAAACCACTTTACAATAAAAAAGTAAATGTGAAAGGTGCTTTTTGTTCATTGTATTTATTTCGTATTTGATAGTTTGACTAAAGCTGCTATTATTGGTATTAACTGACTGACTTATAGTTAAGCCACGGTCTAATGAAGTCAGATTTACAAAAACAAGCTTCCTTGGATTATCAACATCCACTAAAGCAATACACTAAAGAAAATATTATGCTATTTTGGGTGTTTAGTATTAAACGTACAGTGATCTCTGTTCTACAATGAATTCCTTGTAAATTGCAATATTGATCTAAAACACTTTACTATGTTCATTGACTATCTGTTCAAAACTACATAACTGATGGCCCCAAACACAAATAATTAAAGAGCAGCGGGCAGAGAGAACGAGTAAATGTTCAGGCTGCTCTGCCATTGCACCGTTGATATTCGGCCACTAGATGGACATCGTGTGCTATGATTGAACACAAATGAAGTCACAGGGACACGACTACTGTTACGTGTATCGTGGCACTGCCCCGTGTGAACATTTGTAATAGATTTTTTAAGGCTGTTTTTTTGGCATGTATAAACACATTTTGCAGTATTTTGCATGGGATGAATGCTTTTACTGCCATGATTTGCTGGAGATGTACAGTCTTCATTTTGAGTTAGGGGCTGGGTTGGGGTAAATCATATTACCAGAAATAATCCTAATTCTGTGTGTAGTGACTGTGTGCCCTGTGTTGAATATACATAGTTCAAACCAAACACATAGCACACGCAGCATTCCCTGGAGCTTCTATTTTAAACTCAGATTAGTTATTACATAATATAACATTGAGTAAAAATATATATATACTGCCCACATTTTTGTAATAATGTGTTGCAAAACTTTAAAACTGCTTTGTTACACAACGTTACAAATGATCACAAGTTTGTTTTATTACATGATGCAGTGACCATTTTTTATTATGACATAATGCTGCTTTATTACATAATGTGGCTGTAGAGACCACAGCCTGTCAGAGTTCACAATTTCACAAGTGCATTGTCTTTTAAAAACACTCAGCTTATAACACACTGTCTTTTAAAAACACTCATCTTATAGTGCACTGTCTTTTAAAAACACTCATCTTATAGCGCACTGTCTTTTAAAAACACTCATCTTATAGCGCACTGTCTTTTAAAAACACTCATCTTATAGTGCACTGTCTTTTAAAAACACTCATCTTATAGCGCACTGTCTTTTAAAAACACTCAGCTTATAACACACTGTCTTTTAAAAACACTCATCTTATAGTGCACGCACTGTCTTTTAAAAACACTCATCTTACAGCCAAAAGTCAGAAGTTCAATTGTTGTTTAAACTTATGGCCGAGCTTGTGTCTGTCTATGTCTATGTCTTTGTTATTTTACTGAATAATTCAGATGTATCACAAAGGGTGCTGCTGAATATTGAATGTACACTTGCTTTATATCCATCAATATTGAATAGAGTTTAGCTGCAGCTGTTCAGGGCCATGCAGAGTGCCACATCTTTTACATAAACACTTTAAACTACAATGAGCAAAGCCACTGTTTCAGATTTTCTTTCATGCACATGTATGGACACTGAGCTGTATCAGGTCAATTCAGCAAACTTTATTTATCACCAAAGGACAATTCTTTTTGTAGATCATCACTAGAGGAAAAACTATTTATACCTTATTCCCTGTTCTGCTCTGCCACCTACTGGAAACAATAAATAGAAGATGTTCCAATGTTATACTATTTCAATTTTTAAAAACACAAACATGCATACAAAACAAGTAAATGTGCACAGAAAAACATTTACACCTTTATTACAGAGCCTAAAAAACCAATGGAATAGTTCACACACCTTCTGCTGGCTACACTATATTCCTTTATGTTGTTGATGACCAAAGCCTGTATATAGCGTCGAACATGCCAAGAGCACAGTATCTGATTGTGGCTCTTGTGTGAAGTGCTGGCTCTGGCCTTTCCCTCAGACCCCGGTAGAAGACCCCTGTAGAGCCGGGCTAATGCACACTGCTGCTGCGTGAAAAGCTGCTCTGTACATCACTGCAGACACAGAGGGCACTGTAGAGGGCAGAGTGAAGGCCGGTGACCCTTATGTGGAGAAGTGCACAAGGACCTGATCAGTATGCAAGCCTAACAAGTGTCACAGAGAACTTATGGTGGTCGTTTGAGCCATTACAGCGTCACTGGGGCTTATGTAAGATTATTGATACAGGATAGTGAGGAATGATGGACGATCAAAAGCTCCATGGGGTTAAATTGTCTCCATGTTTTGGTTGCTGTGGGGCTGTTAAGTTATGATGTCATTATTCTCCTTCTAATGGCGTTCTAGCCTCATTCATTTAAAGAGCATTTTGGGAGACTTTAACCCGCTCCAAGCTTTGTACAATGGCGTTTTCCAATTTAAAATATCACAAAAGCAATAAGTGAAGTCTAGGATTTGCTTTTGAGAATTAGCTTCCATTAGATTTTAAAAATGTCGTGGGGAATGGCTCTTATTTCTTTAAAACACAGTTAACATATTACACAAGAAATCCACTTGTGTTATATAACTGTTATTGATCCTTCAAATATCTACTGAAGAGCTTTGTGTGAATAAAAGTTCAAACATTATGAAACATTCTTAGTCAAAATCCACCTATAAATTGTGTTATGATATTCAATTAAAGGTCCAACCAGAATATCATCTTAATAATTTTTCAGTATCGGCGTCAATATTCAATACCAGGATCACTATCAGGGCATTTCTTGGTCATAACTGTCTTTCCTCATTGTTAGTTTATGCTGAGATGTATTATGATTGATTTTAGCATGTTTAGTAATCCTGTATTGTCTTGTATTTGAGGCTTCAGTGGTCTGAAAAGTTCTGTTTTCACCTAAGCCCTATCTCTGCCCCAGAGCTCTGTACTCACTGGCAGTTATTCAAAATGATTCAGACTCTGGGACATACATGTAGGGTTCAACAATGTCTACAAAATACATAATGATATCATGTACTCTGAATACATGAGGAGTAGTAAAGCAGAGCTGTTACACCCTCCATGTCCCTCTTGTATGGGCAAGCTCTTTCCCAGCATGCACTCTGTCTGTGAGCTTGTCCCTGTGGGCTTGGCTTTCCTGGTTCAGACTGCCAGCATGGTGGATGCTTGAAGGAAACCAGCCTATGTAGATTCACTGGCTGTGATTTGCTGATAGATATATAATTCATGATCTCATCTGCATAAGCCACTCCATGTTTGATTTCTAAAAATACAACCGCACGACTCTGGGGGCCAGTGTGAGAGTTCATACACAAGATACTTTATTCATGCAGCTAGTAATGTTAACCCTGGAAAAGCACTACTATACTGCAGTTTCAACAGTAAGTCAGGGAGACAAATTGACTTCATTTTCAATTCAATGCATTTATTTTTAGTGGGCCTGTAGGCACACAATGTAACTTTTCTAGAGGAGAGTACCTGATGTTATTGCTTTGATGAGAATGTTTCACTGTATGGCATTAAACAATTTATCTCCAAGGACACAAGAAGGTGACTGCCCGTGCTAGATTACAGGTCAGATCTGTGGAGAGGCTTGTCCAGTCACCGCAAGAATGCATGCTTTTAAGGTACTTTTGAGCAATAAATACCCAGAATTAATTAAATGCTTCAGATTGCCATTAAATAAATTAAATATAAATATCCATAAATCCATGTTGTATTTTTACTAGAGTTTATCTTAAAACCTTTTTTGGCTCTGCTTGCTAATGTGTGCTTTATGTCACCATTGTAACTACTGAACATTCCACCATAGACATACACATGGAACACCCCCAGCTTGATGTCACTGCAAAGTTACACCTAGCTGTGATATTAATACTCATAAAAATTAATGGTACAGGAACAAACAGTGTGGCAATAACAGTTTTTATGTACCTCTTGTGTAACTGTAATTATAAATTATTATTTGTAATTATTTGATTTTCAATAAAGAAGATTCAATTTCACATTAACCTCTGTGCTTTGAGGTGTATTACAACATAAATTCCCCTGCGTGTCCCACCTGAATAACAGTGACACAGACAAAGCTCATTACTGCACATACTTCATCGAGCCGTCATAAACAAGTCAGTAACTCAGAGGCCGCCAGGAAGACTAGTATCCACCCATCCATCAGCAGAGGAAGCATTAGCATGAAGCCAGGCAATTACTGAACATGAGAGTGTGTGAGTGCGGCTGCTCAGGCTAAGTGACCCTGTTTGCTTCAGGCTAAGTGCCTCTCACTGGCGGGATGATCTCTGCACCACCCCACCCTGACTCTACACAGCTCCTTCTGCCCTACATCGCACACTATACAGGACACAGCAGCTATGAAGGAGAAAACTTTTATCTAATGCAAATCTTAAAGATCCAATATTATGCAAATTTGACTCTTGAGAGCTTTATGTCATGTTAGAATGTCATTACCTCAGCTAAAACATACCCTGAGTTCTGTTTTGTTTCATTAACACATGTTTGTGATGGTAGTTTTCAAGTAGAAACTGGGAAATTATTCAAATTATTTCTGGTGTACGGAGTTTAAAAACACAGTGGAGCACTTCCTGTATTACCATGTGACGTAAAAGGTGGGACAGAGTGTTTTTGTTTCAGAGAACAATACATTCTAAATATACAGAGTCTGTATGTAAAATGTGTGAATGAAACAAAACACAACTTTTAGTGACATTTAGACTTTAAACAACATTATAATAACATAGATCATAGATAAATTTGGATAAAACTGGGCTCAAACCTGGACAAAGCAAGACTATGAGTGCACCCTTTTACAAAGATGACATAATTTCAGATGAAGGGCTTGTATAACTCAACTCTGTGAGCTGTATAGGGACATAGCGACCCATAATGTTGTTACCAAGTGAACTATAGGCAGAGCAGTTTCACTTAAAACTCCTCCTTTAGGATTTGGACTTACTTAGTGTAACACAGAGTGGGATAAATTCCCAGTGTTTCAAGCCAACTCTACCAACTGAAAATGGCTTTTGG